TTGTTCTTTAACCACGTTACTTAATTAAACTCAACCAATTTGAACCTTTTCGGAGACTCCATTAGTCTCTTCATTCTTAGCTCCTCTCCTGGGCGCGAGAACATCGAATACTTCAATACCACATATGGTGTTCTTAGTTTCCATACCTCCTGTGTTTTACGAGCGACTTATCAAGTCTTGGCAAACGGCATAAAACACGATTAAACGTGATAGTATATAAAACCATGCTCGTATCTACAACCTATATAAATGCAAAACGGCGTCAGTTTAGACGTAATTCTGTCCTCAAGCTTCCGGTTTCGCTATGAGTGGTCGCATTTTCGAGAGCTCCCGCTTTGGAGGTTATTCCTCACGATTTTTTACATATTTCATCCTCCTGACAATATGGATTATGGACTCCTACCTCAACTCATCAATGAGGCAACATCACTTAGAGAAGGAGAGTAGTGAAAGCAGGGATAAAATGAACCACAATGACTTTTACCTTCTCAACGGCTGGGAAAGGAAACACCTCGCTTTTGGAAGTGCAAGCATTCATGCATTATTAACTGCAAACCCGACGCGAAAGTACTTACCCCCGTCAGGCAAACTAGACCGAAGAAGTATGATCGTCTTGGTCTTATTGTTAGCGGGAGACATCCATCTGAATCCGGGCCCGGTGCAGACAAGAAGCCATTCCTGCAGGCTCGAGGAGCTAGCATCACAACTAGCATCACAACTAGCATCTCTTCCGCTACAGCAACAACTACGCGACGACAACAGAGACCATGGAGACAGCGGAGACCGAGGAATCAACGGAGACTTCGACATTCCCCCGGGGACGCCTCGGCAGACAGACACGCATGAGGCAGTGACGAGAGGAAGAGAACCGAGATCCGAGGGAACAAATATCCACCATGTTGTTAGCCACCCTGCTAGCATATCGACGGCTAAAGCTACAACGGAGCCTCCCTCCCCCCACCACCCCACCGCTCCAAGCACCACGGCAGGCCGCAAGCCGTTTGCTGTAACGGACAAAGACAAATATCTTCAAGCTGACGACATTATGCATTTAAACAACAAAAATGGACTACATATTTTTCATCTGAACACTAACAGCCTGAGACACAAACTGGCTGAACTCAGGCAACTGTTCATGAACGGTAAGGCAAGCATATTATGCTTTTCTGAGACCAAATTGGACAATTCCATTACAGATTCAGAGATTGAAATTGAAGATTATCTTGTAGTGAGAAGGGACAGGAACGTGAATGGAGGTGGTGTCTGCATGTACATACATAAAGACACCAATTTCAAAAACCGTACTGACCTGCATCATGAAAATATTGAATCTGTGTGGGTTGAAATTCTTTTTGACAATGCTAAATCTGTAATAGTCGGGACAATCTATAGACCACCGGAACAGAGTGACTTTTATGATACATTAGATGGGTGTTTGGCTGATGTGGGGGATGTAGAGACAATTATTATTGGAGACTGGAACACGGATATGCAACGTAAAGACACGTCCGTCTTCAGGTCCTTCAGTAGGATTTGTGATCTGCACGGCTTCAGCCAGCTAATCACCCAACCCACCCGGGTATGTGAAACAACACAAACTACCATTGATCTCATTCTGACCTCTGACAGGTCCAGGATCTCCAGTAAAGGGGTTATAGCATGCGGTTTAAGTGATCATTATATGATATTCTGTACCCGCAAAAAGCTAAAACAAAAGGCCGGCTGTCACAAAACAGTCATATCTAGAGACCTCAAAAACTACTCTAGCGAGGCCTTTAACCTAGAACTGGAGAGCCTGGACTGGTCAGATGAGCTCAGTGGTACACAAGTTGAAGAAACATGGCTTGGTTTCAAAAACAAATTCTCTGCAATACTCAATGATTTGGCCCCCCTAAGAACAACCAGGGTAAAAAATCGCGCTGAGCCGTGGATGCACTCCGGCATACTGACCGCCATGAAAACCAGAGACAAAAAATGCTCTGAGTTTCATAAAAGTCAGTCAATGCTTTCCAAAAGCACGAGCAGTGAACTCCAGGCCCACGTGACTGAACTAAAAATTGAAAGAAACAGACTAAGAAATGACGTAAGCTCCATGATCAAAACTGCCAAAAAGAATTTCATCAATGACAAAACTGAGGAAAACAAAAATAAACCCCGTGAACTTTGGAAATTACTCAATAACCAGCTTGGCTGCAGTAAAAAACTCAAAACGAGATTTTCAAACGTAAACATAAAGACAGATAACAGGCTCATCACAGACAAACTGGATGTGGCCAAGTACTTGAACATTTTTTTCACAAACATAGCCACAACTCTTGTAAATAAATTACCCTCCCACTCAGGGCTTTTTGGAGTAGATCACATCATGACCTACTACAAAAACCTAGGGGTACGCAAAGATGATTTCAGTCTAGCAAGGGTAACAACAGCAGAGGTACTCATTAAACTGAGCGCCCTCAAACCTAACAAGGCCACTGGCCACGACAATATCCCCTCCAAATTCCTCAGAGACACAGCAACCGCCATCTCACCAGTCATAGCTCACATAATTAACCTCTCCATAAAACAGGGAAAAGTACCCAAAGACTTCAAAATTGCAAGAGTAACCCCCCTGCACAAAAAGGGCAGCAAATTGGACCCAGGCAACTACCGCCCTGTTTCTATACTTACCTCCATCTCGAAAGTCATGGAAAAAATAGTATATGAACAGGTCGAAAAGTACCTCGCAGAAAAGAAACTAATCTATGAATTTCAATCTGGCTTTAGAACATCCCACTCCACTGACACATGCCTTCTTTATTTGAACGACCACATCAAACAAGAGGTGGACGAGGGTAAATACTGCGGCATGGTGATGCTGGACCTACAAAAGGCTTTCGACACTGTCAATCACCCCATTCTGATTGACAAGCTAAAAGCAATTGGTTTTGATAAACTATCGGTGAGCTGGATGCAATCCTACCTGGAGGGGAGAGAACAGATGGTGGAGGTAAACGGTACTCTGTCCCCCCCCTCCCAGTGAGCTGTGGTGTTCCACAAGGAAGCATATTAGGTCCGTTACTGTTCCTAATTTATGCAAATGACATGTCATCAGCATGTGACTGCAACTTGTTCCTGTTCGCGGACGACTCAGCCCTGCTGGTCTCTGACAGGAGCAGATTGCAGGTTGAAAAAACCCTCAGCTCCGAGCTCGGCAGAATCTGCACCTGGCTCGCCGATAATAAATTATCATTACACCTGGGTAAAACAGAGTCCATTCTCTTCGGTTCGAAACATAATCTCAGCAAATCCGACGACTTCTCAGTTGCAGTGGGTGACATTATTGTCACAAGTAAGAAGGAAATTACATACCTAGGATCTATTCTTGAGGCAAACCTCTCCTGTGACAAAATGGCATCCAATGTAATAAAAAAAGTCAATCAAAGAACTAGATTCCTATACCGGATCTCCTCTCTGGTAAACAAAAACACCCTGAAAACTCTGGCAGGAGCACTCATTCAAGGGTACTATGACTATGCTTGCACGTCATGGTACCATAGCACCTCCAAGGCGCTAAAAATAAAACTTCAAACATCGCAAAATAAACTGGTCAGACTACTGCTTGACCTTTCATCTAGAACCCACCTCACCTCTGCCCACTTTGACAACCTAGGATGGCTTAGAGTAGACGACAGAGTACAGCTACTTGCAATGGGCCTGGTCTACAAGATCCACTACACCTCTATGGTACCCATGTACATGTCAAAATTCTTCCCAAAGGTCAAGGAATACCATGATCATAACACCAGAGGCAGCTCCACAAATCATGTAAAACCCAGATTTGGCACAAAAAAAGGGGAATACACGTTTCGCAATTATGCCACATCAAGGTGGAACGCTCTTCCCACAACTGTAAAGGAAAGTAAAACTATACTTACCTTCAAAACCTCTCTTAAAGAGCACCTTCGGGGGAAAGCATTGCAAAACTGGCCCCGGTAATGGTACAAATCTCAACCTGTCGTACAATGGACAGCTTCCCCCCCCATCTATGTATATACTCGCATTTTAGACTCTGTTACTAACTGTATATCTGTAGACTTGGTATGTCTTAAATGTCCGGTTAGGATGTATTAGAACGAAATCTAAAATGAAAATTGTAAATAAGCCATCTGTATGTAAAAAACCACCTGTATGTAAATTGTAAATAAGCCATCTGTATGTCAAATATGTCTTATATGTCTTAAATGATATGATGAATTGGAAATGGGGGACCCTGATGTAAACAAGACGAAAGTCTTTCTCTGGTCTGCATCCCCTTAACAATTGTATGTTTTGAGCTGTACTGTACTGTACCCAATATACAAGCTGTTAATAAACTTTTCAATCAATCAATCAAACCGCATCATTTATGAGAAAACATTTCAAAACATTAACACAACATATTCGAGGTGGTTTTAAATAATATATCCGTATTTATTTATTTCTCCAAGTTATGTTTTTGTGTGCACTGAGGAGTCTCAAACAGGCGTTTGTTTAATCATTTTAAGATTGGCTTTAATCAATGTTTGAAAATGAATTCTTCATATATGATAAATGAGAGGTAACATTTTATTTATGGTATTATTTCCACATATTTCTCTCCGTTCTTCCTTCTGCCAACGGTGTCGCAGTTTCTCGTCTCTCCCGTTTGTGTGCTTAGTGCGTACGCATGGGTTAGAGTTTGCGTGGAGGACCGCACATTTTCCCGTCAAGTTAGTATTTTATAAATCGCAAACATTGCGAAGAAACTGGCGTACGCCATTTTTTGAGCGTATATCCCTTTATAAATGAGGCCCCAGGTGTCAGCACTTCAAGTCACTCAGTCATATTATTGTTCCAATTAACCCCTTAGCATACTGTAATTATTAATTGCCTTAAAAAAAAATGTAACATACTAATCAGAACTGTTGCAAGAATAGTGCATATTGCTATCAACAAATAGGTTTAGTGTGGTGTGTATAAATAGTGACAGTAGACCAGAACAAAAGACAGCTGTTTTTTTATTTATGGCTTTTAAACAAAGACTGAATCTACAGTGTGCCTGTAAGAAAAGAGTTTATACAACTATTACATCTCCATAATATTTGGTTAACTGTTGAGAAAAATGAAACGCTGCCAACACACTATACACTGTCATAAATGCAATAACTTTTGGTTTATATAGTTTTCTAAGGCACTGTTGCATTTTTGTTATATTTGTTATAACACACACAAAAAACATACATATTTGCTTTCACAAATATTTCAAAATATGGTGAAACATAAATTCAGAAAGTAAGACAGATAAAATAGTTAAAAATGCATAAGAAAAACAATGACATTATAGCTGCAATGAGCTATATAATGAATGTTTCACCATTCAAAGAAAACATTTCAAGTGTTGTGCATGTGCTGCCCCACAAGAATTCAAGCGTTGAAGGCAAAAATAAAAGGTGTCTTAAAAATATGATTCAGTAGTTACGTGTTCACACAAATACTTTCATATGTTAATAAGTCATGAACATTTAAAAAAGTATATATTTGCATGAGATAAGTTGAATATGTTTGTAATAGCTTACATGTCCGATAAATATGGAAAATAGTTTTAGAGGCTTTTTGTCTTTGGCACTTTAACCTTCTCTAAGAAGATCAAATGGAAGTACAGTAATGAAGAATAAAGTGATACATAAAAAAGGTTTTTTTTCACATTGGAAGATTGCGCCAACATGATCAATATGGACCACATCCCGGCAGCCAATCTCCTAACAATTGACAAGAGGAAACTCTAAACTTTGGATGCATTTGCAAACTATTTCATAGTCACATGAGATTGTCTTACCTAAATGCACATATGTGAGGCACTAAGGACTGAATAAACAATGCTGACATCATCTTAAAAGTTCATCAAAAAACGACTTTACTTTCACAAAGCAGAGTAACACTATGATGATCCTCTCAGGGGCTTCTTATTGAACCCAGCCAACATTTCAGTTTGTTGAGAAACTGTTCTAGATCACTGCACCCAGGTGAACAAGTGTGCAAGGCATTATACAGTATAACGTAACAGAATGTCATCATGCAACTACATTTGAAATATGTATACTGTATGTAACCATTGTCAAACAGGCAGGAGGCTGCACCCTCTACTGCACATCTAACCAGCTTGTTTGGTTCGATATAAGAGTTTTGACACGCTCCCATAACCAGGGCATCTGCAGGTGAAGTCTCACACGCTGGCCCCTGCAGGTCGGCCCCCATGGTGTGTGAGTCTGCCTCCTCTTTCCCCCCCATCCCCGGGCATACGGGCGTCAGAGGGATGGTTTCCGTTGTTGTCACATCCTGCTTCCCGTAACGTTGAGCGATTGATGGCTGCCCAAAGCCTTTCGTTCTCCTTCCGCTGCTCGTTGACCTAGAAGAAGGAACACACGCCGTTACTCATGAACACGGATCAAAATGAGACGGACAGGTGACTTTTGGGAAAAACGTCTCACCTGCTTCTCCAGCATTTGGATCCTCAAATCCTGACGAGCAACCGTCTCTTGCAGCTGCGGAATAAACTCGGTCAAATACTGTGACAATAAAAATGTAGTGTCTCTAGATCATGTTTTTTCATTTGCACAGATTAAGATACCTGTGTGACTTCACTACTTGCTTCGCAGCAGGCACCAGACTGTCCTTTTTTGCAGACGTCAGCCTCCTCCAGTCCATTGACTTTATCACAGCCCATTCGTTTAGTCTGGAAATAGGTGGATGGGTTTTAAAATGCAGTGTGAATAGCAGTATCTGAAAGTGTTAATTTAGAGTACACCATTCATGTCCATATGAGTGCAAAGAACAGCTGTGTTTGCGTTACCGATAGCTCCTTCTTTGTGCTGACTGCTGCTGCCGCGGCCTTCAGCTCTTTCAGCTCCTCGTAAGGTAGAGTGACGGTCTCAGAGACAGAAGAGAGCGGGTCAGGAGTGGATGCCTCAGAGTCCAGTGGCATGGGGATGAACTCTGCATTCTCGAGCTCCTGTTGGATGAAAACCTCCCTGAATTAGAACACCACGACTCGCCATGCAGGGAATTCTATTCATATTCCTCTGTGGTTTCCTGATAACTCACCTTCCTGAGCCAGAGGGGGCAGGAGCTGTCGCCACTCTGACTTGCCAGTGACATCATCGACGTCTCCATGAAGCACTCCTCTGTTTTATCCTCCCGTGTTCCCCCAAGACCCCGGTCACGACACTCTGTCTCTGATCCAGGTTCTATGTCCAGATCCACTGTGGATGTAGATGCTCCTTGGCCCAGTCCTATACGTACATTGAAACGCGCACATCAGCAATGTAGACTTGCAGGTGAAAATGAAGACTTCATTTTAAAGCAGAAGAATGTTTAAAGACACAAATCAATGATCAAAGAAAAGTATTTACCACTACCAATTGATATACCGCTGCTGTTAGAGCGAATAGTCTTGGAGTTGAGCACTTTCTCTGCAAAGGAGAAAATATATTAGTCAGCTGGCTCCCGGTGACCGTACAATGTGCAAGTGTCTGGTTTTCATTACTGACCCATTATGATGATGGTGTGCCAGCCACGGCAGGAGAGGTCCGGCACATGATGGAGGGAGCCAAAGATCGGCCTTGGCATGGAAGGGCACACCTCTGAACCGAAGCCCTTATCAGCCGGCATCCCGAGGCGCCCGTTTCCTGCGTTTCCCCAGGCAAAGATCTGATTGTCTGCAAGAATCAAAAACAGGTGATGATAAGGGCTGTACAGAATTATTCGAGGCTTTTTTCACAAACTCTCAAATCAACGTTCGAATGATTGAATTTCTGCAAAGTAGGAGGTACAGATTACGCTACACTAAAATGAGTATGATGCTATTTGCAGGATTAAACCCTAGTGATGGCTTAAAGGTAGGGTAGGTAAGAATGGAGAAACCACCTCGAATGCGCTAGAATTTGAAAGTACACAACCGGAAAAAATCTGCCCCTTCCTTCAGACTTCCTTACAGAGCCCCTCCTCCAACACACACGGACGCGCACATGACCAATGAGGGCACGAGATAAGTTTGTGCACGAGATGGAAGGCTGACAGGCAGGTAGGCCATCCAGTTATTTTAGCCGGGCCGGCTTACACAGATGACATTTTTTTATGTATTTATTGTCAAAGCATTTAATGTATTCATTGCTATCGGGATGTTAAGAGCATTCCATGGAATATAACAAAAAGTGTTTCTGAAGTGAATTACCTACCCCACCTTTAAAGCAATGTTTCATACATACTTCTGTGTTTCAAACATTACAAATAATTTCATAGCATTCTCAAATCCAATAGTCATAATGTATTGAAGAAAGATAAATGTAATAATTTCTTATCTACAAAATAGTCTGCTCTAATACACATTTGTGTCGTCAGGTCTATCAAACACAACCTATTCACTGCTGTTGGCTCTCTCGTACACTTGGAGGAGTTACACCTGTATTATTCGGGGGGTGCAAACCAACACAATAAATCACTTTATATCGCCACATTAACATCAATATTTTTATTTTAGGGTGATGGCTTCAAAAATATGACAGCAGACATCATTCTAGACCCTTAAAGAATGTTTAAATGAACAAATATGACATTAAGTATGGCATATATGATATATTCTCAGGGAAAAGGGTCTGCAGCTCCTGAAAGACACAAAGGTGCCACAAACCTTGACATGAAGTCCACATGTTATTGCTACAGATGCACCACAGCACTGTACATGCTCCTACCCTCAGTGGCTGCGATGGTGAAGCCATCTCCACACGACACTTTGGTCACCGTCTTGCCTCCAAAGGGTCCGAGGAGGAGTTGGACTCCCTGATGTTTCTTAAAGTCTTTCACGCCCAGCTGTCCGTACTTGTTGCACCCGAAGGTGATCAAACGACCACGTTCTGCAAAGCCAGAAATCTAGTGAAATAATCGTTCTTTGAAAACGGTGACAAACATGCAAGACAAAAATCTGCCTCTTTTACCATCGATAGCAGCCGTGTGGGTCTTCCCCGGAGAGATGGTGTGGATCTTGAACCTCGACAGCTGCTTTACCAGGGTCAGCGTGGTGATGTACGGTATCCCCTGGTAACCCTGTGAGGTTTACAGAAAGGTCTTTTTATAAACCTAGCTGTCACATAAAGCCACTATTATTACAGTCCTTTAAGTATAACTCATTACCTCTCCAGTGTGGTTCTTGAGACCAGAGATTCCCTGGTTCAGTCCCAGCTTGTTGAACTCATTGTTTCCACACGCTAGGACTTTGCCAGTGTCTGTTAAAAAGAAGGTTCCATCGGTGGAACATGACACTGAGGAGATGGTGGCGCCTTTAGGGATCTCCACCTGGGAAAACCAAAAAAACAGATGGTACTTTTAAAATAAATAGCTAGAAATAAGACTATTTTATCTTATTGACTCCTGCAAGGTTTTTAATCTGGTGACAGACAGTCAAGAATATACCAGAACAGGAAAATAAATCTTACCTGCATTGGAGATGAGAAGTCATCCTCACATTCCAGACCAAGACGCCCTACAGAAGAAAAATAGAACAATTCTGAGAACACTTTTTTATGACTATTAAATGGGTCACTATCTCCACCTGCTGGCTACTGCTATAACAGCAAAAACAACGTGGCATATGAAGCTAGAACAGAGACTTTATATATTGGAACTGAAAAAAATCTCCATTGAAAAATGAAAAACCGGGAATAAAGTGTTTCATTTTGAGATTATTTTGGCTTATTGGTTTTTAAATTATACTCTTGATTTGTAAAAATGTAAGCATCTGACCCTGAGAAAGGTCGACATCAGATTGCAACAAAATATCAAATTAAATTAAATGTAATCAATGTTTAATTCATATGAATGAATATGTTCCTGTTTCAGTTTTTCTGTTAAACTTTTTACAGTGCCAATGTTTTCTTTTTCTTGGCCAAATTAAATTGTTGTTGTCAAATGTTACCGTCACAGTTATAGCTCCATAGCAGAGACTTAATCAGCTTCACACAGAGACTCTATGTACCGTACTCTCCGCAGCCCCAGGAGTAGATGTCCCCACTCTGAGTCAGGACCACCACATGGTTGTCTCCACATGAAACCTGACGCACAGGCCGCTCCTCGAAAAACTCCAAAAGCACTGGCTCCAAAATCTCCGTGCCGAACTCGCCCTCCACTCCGATGCAGCCGTAATAGTCCGACCCGAACATGTACATCTCGTCCTCATCTGCAGGAGCAGCAGCAGAAGGTTGGAAAGGTGCATCTTTACTGGAAAATGTTTTGCTCTTCTTTTTCTCAGGAAGCTTTTCTCACTCACCGGTGATACAGGCAGTGAAGTCAGCCCCGCAGGCCACCTGTCGGATGGCCTTCCCCTGCAGCTTCTCCACCCTCTTCGGCTGCCGGTACGAGGCCTGGTCTCCGTGTCCAAGCTGGCCCACCATCTTGGCTCCACTTTGAACATCCTGAAGGCAAGTTTGACAAAGCTCCATGTAGTAAAGCACAACAGGATCCAGTCTATCTATCGCGGAGTGATGCTGTAATACTCACAGCCCAGGTGTACAGCTCCTTCTCCACTGTCACCACGGCAAAGTGACTCTCCCCTGCACACACATGTTGGGCACTGCTGCCTCCTTTAAACGAGTCCAATTTCTGAGGGGTGAACTTCCCTCCGCCCCAGCAGTACACATCCCTCGAGCGTGTGGTCACCACAGCAACAGGAGTGTCGCTCACTGTACTCAGCCTATGGTGAAGCCAGGACAACAAAAGCAGTTATAAATGACAAAATATGACTCAAAGGAAAACTTACAGTACTTCAATAAGTCAACCTTTTTCTTAGTTTTACAGATTTTTCATTCACCGTGGAGGCATGCAAGGAAATGGTTACACAAGGTATGTCATTGAAATATAATTTGGGTGGTTCAAAAGGTGAGGGACTATAGATCAGCTTTATTTGAAGAGACTCTAGGTCCATTTTTAAAAGACATACAACACTCAAATATAAATTAAAAAAGGCAGTTATACCAATGTTTCCACAGAGGTGACTGGTATCGTACAGTACTGAGACAAGGATTTGACAGCAGCATAATGACAGAATTATGAGAAACATTCAATCGACAGATGCATTTGTACATCAGATTTCTCAAGAGAGCATGGGACGTGTTGACTCGTGCATTACAAAACATTTCACTTGCACTGCACCACCTTGGTTTTCTAAGCAGTATACGCAAACAATCATTATAAGCAACCTGGAGCTTCTGGAGGCTCGCCTTCTTCAACTTGACCCACAAGGAGGCAGTATAAAGAGGAGTACAATAAGCTCTAAAGAGGTTCAGCTTAACCTTATCTGAACACCAAGAGAATTTTCTAGCCAACACTATAGACAGGAAAATGCAGAATATAAAACAAGCACTAACAACTTACTTTGGTTTCTTCATTGCAGAATTCAGCAGGGCAACGCGCTCTTCAAGCTCCCTGTCAAGAATGTTTTTGAATAAGTTGCGACAACAGACTCAAAAATAATTGATCCTTAAATGAAAAAGGAACACGCTCCTTTTCCACCAACTTACTGTCTGCAGCAGGAGATGATTGGCTGGTCCAGGATCTCGTCAGATGTAGGCCTCTTTGCAGGATCCTGCGACACAAACAGATAAGAACTTACAGTGACAGCGGTCATGGAGGACCCTGCATTATCTCTGGCAAACCAATTGTTTGATGACAATCTCACACAACATTCTTTTCGATTTATTCCCCCCCCCCCCCCCACTCACTTGATCGAGGCACTCATACACGAGTTTGATCAATGCAGATGAATAAACATCCGAGTTCACTTCCATAGTCCAGTTGCCCTGGACAATTTTCACGCAGAGGTTCAGAGGGTTCTGGTGGACACAAGCAGCTGAGTGAGCTATTTCTGATAAAAATAATAAAATGTTCTGATCAATGCAAAGAATTTTAAGTATTTCCTGCAAGTAAACAAACCTACCGTTGCATCAAACGTTCTTGTGAGAGTCAAAACTTCAAAAATGACACAACCCATGGCCCAGATGTCTGATTTAAAGTTGTACTTCGTTCCTTGGCACAATTCAGGCGACATGTAATATGGAGTTCCCACACACTGGATTTACAGAAGAAGAGAAAAGTGAAAGGGAAAAATCTATTTAGATTCACTCAGTCTTCCTACTTGTTTCCAAAGACTAAAATCAGCACTTTCAAGGTGCGTGGTCAAGGTTTTCCATCAATTGACCACTGTGGTTAATTACATATATATGTAGAACATAGTAGATACTTTATAAAGTATACTGGTAAATTAATTTCAAATTAAACAAGATGTTGTTGTGCTATAAACACAATAACACTTTTTTGGCAACATCACTTAACCTGCAGGGTGACAGTTACAATTGTGTGCAGTTTACAGCACTTTGCAAACCTTGAAAACACCACATTAAAATTCAAATGTTTTCATAGATTTTCTGCACATGTATAAACAATTTTTTACTAAATCATTGCCAGTCTGATTAAAGGTGCTCAAGGGGAAAAAACACAACTTACAGTCTCCGCCATTGAAAACTCATTGTCTAGCTTTTTGGCAAGCCCATAATCGCCCAGCTTGATGAGGTCAGTCTTAGTCAGGAAAATATTCAAAGTTTTGATATCTCTGCAAAAGAAATGAAGTTGCAAAGGCAACATAACATCATTGATTGAAACAAACAAAAGTCCTGCAGATGCCATTGATGAGGGCATGAAACATACTGAACATCTTACCTGTGTAAGATCCCAGCCTTGTGAATGTGCGACACTGCTGAGGCAACTTGGTACAGGTACCATATGACTACCTAAAGAAACATGTTAAAAGGTAAAGATATAATAGACATGTCGGTTTTAAATAAGAATACAAATATAATTCCCTGCAGTGTTGCACTCATACCTCTTCACTGAAAAGTTTGCCATTCTGGTGGTTGATTTTATCATACAGATTTCCTCCTGTGATAAGAAGGCCATTTAGCATTTTGTCACAGATGAACTGCAGTCAGTCTAATCGTGATCAAATCTTTAGAATGGACACAATATTTACTTACCATTACAATACTCCAACTCGATGAGCAGGGTGTTTTTATCAAGGAAGTGGTTAAAGTAGGCGATGATGTTGTTGTGCTCCAGGATGGAGAGGATGCTTATTTCGTTCATGACATCTCTGCGCTCCTTATCGGAGAGATTGTTCAGCTCCACCTCCTTCCATACCACCAAAGAGTTGTCCTATAGGATGGCCGGAGGGGACATGTCATTATATAGAAATGAGCTTACCGAATAGACAGACACAAAAACTTCACATGTTTAGTGCAACAAACGTATCAGACATATCATTGGTTTAGATTACTTTGTTTCAAGGGAGAGGTAGCATAAAAGGGTCATCAGACCTTTAGTATATGCACCAAACTCGACTACAGGACAAAGAAGCAAGGCATGGGAAAGTCATTTATCTAGTGAACTCTCAGGAATTTCTCACAGGGGTATGGAAACTGAGGAACAGTGAGCAATTCAGTCAGCCAGACACATCATATACAGCAAATCATAATAATACTCTAAGAAAACAAGATGTAGCACTATTAACAGCACAATCTGTTTAATTTGTTTACACAGTAAGCACCGGTTCTAAAACATTCTGACTAACTATAGTAAAATAGCAAGAAATATGTGTAGTTATGTATCTCATATCTTGCTGTTTTGATTCAGGCCCATTTTCCAAGCGTTTGCTCTTTCAGTTTTGTTGTTATTTTTGTAATAAAGAAATTACTATTTATTTATGTATTACTCTAAACATTTTGTATATAAATCCCCAATGGTTTTTCTTAACCTATAGCTATCTCATTGTGTTTATATTGAATTTGATCATTAATAGACTAAAGGATAACTACAATGATGAAGACTGCCTGCAGATCATGACTTTTCAAGGAAAAGTTGTTGACTTGGGACCTTATAACTTTACATATTTTCACGAGTCTGTTGTTATTACAGTGATTAACAAACACTTTCAACAACAATGTTTTTTGGGGAGGAACGCACATGTGACATGGGATACTGTGTGATAAATCCGTGCCTTTTAAACACAGGAACACTTTCCTGGGCCTTACCTCAGATCTTCTGTACAGAGTGGCCTCCCCGAACGCCCCCCTCCCGAGGATCCGGATGGGAATGTAATGCAGCTTCTCCTCTTCGCCATACGTGCTGGCCGCTGACCGCTCACTGACCACCGACCCGCCGCCCAAATCTGAATTTAGCGAGTCGAAATGTCTTTCATAGTCTCCCAGTGACATGTCTGTTTAGGGACTTGTTATCCACTGGCAGGGATGTAAATAACCCGAGCAGGCCTACCACAACTCTTCCTGATAGACTCCTACAATACCGCACACACGTCTAACATGTTAACGTTATCCGTGTCGGCTAAAACAAATAGGCCCGTCAAAGTATTCCTATTAAGTTACCAAATGCCTCAAGACTACTCAACAGACTCAATGTAAGACAAATACAACGTAGGAAAATACGTGCACTAGCGTCAAGCATGACAAAAAGTGACAACGTTCAGCCAACTTTTTGAAGTTTCACAATAAAAGGTCCGTCTTTGTAGCGGGTCGTCGTGTATTTTACACTGAAAGGCAACAGAGCGTATTTCCGGTATGGCTCTACTCTGTTTAGCTTGACTTGGCTAACACGCTAGCAAAAATAAAGTACAGCGCCGCAATCAAATCCTGAACTATCTTGGTAAAGTTACCACGTTACAGTGTTTAGTAAGTATGCATAACAAACACAATAGTTACGAATATTTAAAAGGTCAACAACACAAAGAAAACGGGTCCATTCCCTCTTGGCTGTTCCCCCTTCGCTCAAACCCGGAAACTGTCAAATTAAACAGTCTCCTATGATTTTCTAAAAGTCTTTTAATTACATTTAAAAACTGCAATGTTTTCATCACCTCCGAGACAATTGTGTACTTCGAGTGCGTTGCTCACTTTTATGCTTTTTTTCATAATATAAATTAATAAATGATAAATAAGTAAAATAACAAAGAGAAAACTTTAGACATCCATCGGTAGACAAAGTTTACCTGTTTATTACAGATCTTGCGATTTTATGTTATTTCACATTGAATCTTTCTTTCTTTGGGGTAAATCTAATTAAATGTTACTATATTATTTATCTCCAATTTTATATATATAGTTGATTTTACATACGTATCAATATTTCTTTCTATTTAAGTATCAAACTCCTAATTTAAATGTTAGGGGAGTGTCCTACTCATTACAAATCCTAAAACACTTACCATATTGTTGTGTAATATTGGTAAAATCTTGTCACTTATAACTTGTTTTACATTAACATATCAAAATGTGTAATTGTAGGCTATAGTACATTTTCTGGAATAAAATCTAAATACGACCTGTCAATGGATAAAACAGAAATGTAAATGTTGTTATAATCTACCAAATTAATTACCTGGAAAATAAGAGCAACAAGGTATCCCATTCATACAAAAATCATATCATATTATAATATTGTAGTTATTTATTTCAAAAATATAATGTATATCAGATAGCCTAAAATAAAAAATATTATCTTGGTATAAAAGGGTAGGTGTCACTTCTTCAGCGTGTATTATGGCAATTTTTCCTAGGTTACAAATAATCAGTTTTACTGTTTTCTACAACCAACTAGCAGACTGTTAGACTTACGGTACATCACATCACCAACCACCCATTTGATTCGATCTTTACCCTGTGGGCGGCATATTAGAGGTCACCGGAGCACTCTGCAGTAAATACATTACATAAAATTAATTAATTTTTATATTATAAGAAGTTATACATGTAACTTTATGTGGCCTTCCCATACAAATCTTAAATAAGAGAGAAAAAAAACCTTCAGATCACTATCACATTACAGAGAGAGGGTAAAAGGGATTCAAGCGCACACTTGCACCCACACAGTTTTGTAATATTGACAGAGCAATTTCCTCACACAGATAAAAGTAACATGCTCGGGCAGTTGAGTTAAAACCTGAAGACCAGAGGAATGTTCATGATTCATGATTTCAAATTATGGCAAAACAGGAAAACAATGGTAGGCTTGCTTTATTTAATTGGTCCTCACAATACATCTTTAGAAAACATGCTGTATTATTGTTTGTTTTTCCCTCCGAGCTCAAATCAACATTTGTTTTTCAGGATCTATGGTCACAGTTGGGTCCAGAAGTCTGCCACTGTATCCACTGGTTATCGGGTTTTTAGGGCTGCTGAACGCCATTCTGATTCTGACTGCTATTGTTATTGGGATATACTGTGAGTACATCTGATCCAAGTAATGTGGTGTTTATCTATACTTTCCTTATTTAGAGTGGGTTTTGAGTACTGTAACAATTCATTAACTAGGCTGTGGACGTGCTTTTCAACTTAGATCCTTAACTACATTTACACTTTCTTACCCAATGCTATAACTTGGTAAATACCTTGCAGGTGGCAAAGTCAGTGAGGAATCCACTCCAGACCAAATGACAGCACAAGGGCTCATCATAGAGGTGAAGCAACTTCAAATAATGCAGACTGAAGCAGTCAAAGCTCAAAAAGAGGCAGAGCAAGCAGTAGAAAAAGAGCTCAGGAAACACCAGCAACTAAAACTGCAGTTAGGGTTGAACAAGAACCTCATCGACAGCATTCAGAGGAGTCATGAAGTACTGCAAGTGGAGAGAGCTACACTGAAGTCCAATTCATCTGATATGCGTGAGAAGCTATTGCATACATTTTTTGAATTTGGAATCAAATGTTTTCCTTTTGTTTGGATTTCAACTAATTTTCATCTTTTAACAGGGGAAAGTTGTGGACGATGCCAGTCAGGATGGCTTTTACTCAACACATCGTGCTACTTCCATGGTAAATCAGCCTCCAATCCCTTAAAGAACTGGCAGGATAGCCGATCGGACTGTATCAGGCGTGGGGCCGATCTGGCTGTGATTAATAGCTTGGAGGAGCAGGTGAGTCCAATATGAATATACAGGAGATAAAAAGGGTGTTATTTTGATGATTCATGGACATAAGGTAGCACTGTACTGTATTGTGGTGTGGCTCACTATTCTAGCTTGCTTGCCAACACATTCAACTTGTACCTGCAGTCGAAACATGGAGGAAGTTAATAATTATAGTAGTAGGTTTTATCTGAAGTAAATTCTGATAATTAAAGCATTATAGCCAAAACTACCAGGGCTCAACCAAAATGCCTGAAATAAAATGAACAAACGCTCCAGCTGGGTTTAATTTGGTCTGGCTCAAGTTACTCACCAAAGCCTCAGCATGTGCATGATGATTCTAGCATGACCACAAACAGACACCAGAGCCATTTTAATAAAGAGGAGAGTAGTGTAAATGTTAGAAAGGTTAACCTGAAGCGCAGAGGACTCATAACGACTTGCACCTCACATTGGAAAGGCTGTAAAGGCCCTTACTACTGTGGAAAAATTCCCATTGACATTCATGAGGTAAGTTTAAAGCTAGGTTAAAATGGCAACGGTGTCATTGGGAGGGGACGTGGGTGGAAGCTCCAAGCTTCACTCACTGAACATATCCTAGGCCTACATAAAATTGGGATGATGAATCTACAGTAATATCTCATCAGTCGCTACTTAGGCCTGCACTGCTAATAAATACATTACAGATATACCTGTGATTAACCCATTTTGATTTTGTAATCTCTGTTTGTCTAGATTAATCTTTTTGAGTTCCTACCTAAAATGGATCCGAGCATTCGACCGTGGTGGAGCACGCAGGGGGGGTTTTGGATCGGCCTTACGGATATTCAAACAGAGGGTCAATGGGTTTGGGTAAATAATGTGCCTCTGCAGAATCCAGGGTAAGAGCTTTAAGACTTACTTTGCAGTATTACTAGAATCATTTCACATTTTAGAAAATACACTAATTCACTTTCTTGTTGAGAGTTAGATTAGAAGATCGATACCACTCTCATGTTCAGTGAATATATAGTATACAAATACAAAATTGGCACCCTAACCGTAGTCAAATCTTGTGTGGGTGTTCATATGGTAGAGGAGTAGCAGACTAGTGTACAGTTCATCATAAAAACACAAGAAAATCAGTCGTTAGCGTTAGCATTACCAAGTCTGTTTAAAGCCTGTAGGCTACCTATCATTTTGATACTTCACTGCACTTGTTCTGTTTTTATTGAATACATGACCTTAACAGTTTAGATAAGATACTATGCTGTTGTTTTTACCATAGACTGTATGGCATTTACAGACTCAACAGTAATTTATGTAATGGCTCGCTTTATTAACTTACTATTAAGAAAATCAAGAGACTAAAGTCTTTCCTTAGAGTGTGGGTTGATCGCCCTTATGTTAATAATACACTTTTTGTATCAATCTGTGGGGCATTTTAGCTTGCCATGATGACCACACGCTGCTTTTCTCACGCTGCATTGAGTGTGATTAGAATGTTGCCCTTACCCACCAGTGCTATGTGCCCGAACATTTGTTTAAAAACACAGGTTACTCCTATAGTAGAAAAATGCAACCCGGTATCACGGCAAGACGTGAACATGTGACGATCTACCATGCTGGGAGACGTGAATATGTCACGGTTTCGTCCCTTCAAACGTGACAGTTACACGGTATTGTTAACATGCCCCAACCATTGGAGAAATACCCGGAAGTGCCAAGCAAATGCTCTACCAAGACTATTGGTCGGTTTTTATTGTCAAAATGAGATGTTTTTAATTTATTTTTTAATCGTCACACTCGATTTCGCCGATTTTCTTGTTGCCCTAGCTGGTCGACACCTCTTTTAGCAGAAACAAATGCTACATTAATGTATTAAATCGATGTTAATCCATGTGTGTGGATCATAGACTGTATATATAAAGGTGTGGATGTGGAATTAACGGACGTGACGTTGTGCGATTGCGTTGCCAGGCAACAGCTTCGGTTCATGTTAATTTACAAACTCTTCAACTAGAACCGTAGTTATATTTAAAAACATTTTAGAAGGCTTCACGAAATACTTTAATGTAAATTTAAATTTAAATGTGAAGGAATGTGTGTATAACAAAATACAAACGTCATAAAAAATACCGGAAACAGACGTAGGCAAGGTCCTCAGCTCGGTGATTCGATGGTTTAGCCGCAATGCACGTTGGGAAATGGTGTTTATGCGATGTGAAATCCGAAAACATTTTTTAAAAATAAAATAATACTTTATTCCGAGTGTGCTTGCTTTTCTCTTTGAAAGTCATCACATAACGGCATTGTAATACACGGGTCGGCTGCATTAAATATTACATATCTGCCGTAGTTCTGTATTTATAGAGCCCTGATGAGAAGACTTCTACACAAACAGGAAGCACTGCCGCCAAAACTGAAAACGTGACGTGGATCATAAATATATCAGCAATTAAACAACATCTTACATTTCTTTTCACACAATACGTCTCCTTGCAGTATCAATACTAATTCGGCTGACTTTTATATTTGATCCAATTGGTGGTTATATTTACACCATAACGGTGCACAGCTGATATAAAAGGACTTGTAGTTTTTAAAGATATTACTGATTTTCTTTGAATATAAGAATGTAAATACTGAGTTGAGAGAATAGTCAGGGGATTTGGGTGATGGGAGACACATCTATGGATTCAGAATTTCAATAGCTTACTGTTAAATGACGGATATACCTTTCTTTCTGTGATGTTTTACAAATCAGATATTAGAAGTAAAACATGTGAAATAATATAGCAATATCCTGTACAATTATGTGAAAACATGAATAAAACTACTGTACACATCTTCAGATGTTATACATACACAAGTGTCCTACACTAATAATACAAAGTTATTATAGCTGTGTGTACCTTGTGTGCACCGCCTGGTGGTTAAAGCACGTTATTGAATTAGTTGTGTATATGATATGTCAATGAACCTTAGAAAATCTTGAAAGGGATATGCAAAATAGCCATTATATACAGTCTTTAATTAACTATTAGTAGAGAATAACGAGTAATGAATATACTTTATAGGGATATGCAGATAAATGTTTAGTCTTCTCAAGCAGCAACTATCAAATATCTCTCCTGATTGTTGGCACTTGACAATCACCTTTCCCTGAATTTTACTCAGGTGTAACTAAAGCCTGATTTAAGGGTTGTTTATATTTCACATCATTAATCAGAATCTGCAAAGTAACTAAAATAAATGTAGTGGAGTAAAAATACCAGGTTAACCTCTGAATTGTAGTGGAGTAGAATTGCTGTTTTGTTTAGTAATGGATATTGAATATGGAATAAAGGTTTTGACAAGACCTGGTGTAACAATAATCAAAAAGGACATTAAAAGAGCTCCAGATGTTAATGATCTAAACAAAACAGCACACCTGAAATGTATATTTAAATACTTTATTAAGGGCAGTGAATTCGTTTTTTCTGTATGTTTTTCAAATCAGTGTTATACAGTAAGTGTCATAGACAGTGTTACTGTACATTGCTATTATTATCCTTAAAATATATGTAAAACAAAACCACGTATGATCTTTTTATTTGAGTGGTTTACTAATGACAGTTAATTCTGTTTTTGCTATTGATGGTTTCATTTTTGTGAAAAATAATAAAATAATAAAATTCAATAACGTGCACCGCCCCCCCGGTACCGGGTGGATAAACGCGTCATTTGCAGGAAACAACGTCTAAGGAATCTTAATATTTAATAAACTATGAATGTTTTATATCCATGTAACGGGAAGAAACTTAGCTAACTGATCTTTTTAATTTTTTTTCCCAAAAAAACCCCACAATGCTAACACTCAGCCTCTGAATTAGCCACGAGCGAAAAAATGCTAACCTATCACTGCACCTAAACTCACTCATAACTCACTTATTACTTATCCTAGATGCACAGCCAACCCATCGATTAGCATCGCCTGGAGACACAGAATCGGGGGGTGCCCACCTCAACACTCAGTGATAAACATTTGCGACGCTATAAACGAAAACGTACATCAAAACATGTGGCGCTAGGTAGCTACAAACGCTAACATGGCTTACCTTGGTCAAAACTGGTCTTCAATGGCATTAAAACGATAAAAAACGATGCTGCAGTTAATCCATAGGTTAATCCAATGTGTCTGTGTCCTCTTTGAAATGATTTCTGATAATGCATAAGCAATAAAACTGCTTTTTCGTTTCCAGATGTCAGAGCGAGAGATCGCTTCACTCTGGTGCAAACCTGCATGCGCGAAGCCCCCACCGTTTGTTTTCACAACGAGTGTCGATTCTATTGGCTCTAACGGTCAGAAAGAGGTGTCAACCATCAAAATCGACCAAGGGGGGCTAGAGATATGAAAACAATTTTTTTTCACCCAAATCACCTCAGAGGTGGAGTGGTTTTGGCTAAACCTCTCTAAAAAGGTCACATGTCACTTGTTTTGCATCAATCTTGATACAGGGTACTTATTATATGTTGTACTTTGGATTCCTAAAGCTTTTAGTCTACTAACCCATCATCCAAGGGTAGTTTTCACTATAAGTAAAAAAGAATTTTTGGACGGACACTATAATTTACAGTTTTTTACTATGTAAAATCTGAATTTTCTTTAAAATAAAAAACATCTATATTGATTCTGACTTTTCTACATCCAACTCACAGGTTTATCATTACTTTGAGAAAAAAGATTATTAATTTAACCCTTTTAGAAGGGAAGATATGGTCATTTGTTCTGGGAATGTCATTTTCGAGCCTGAGACCTGAAAAACAGGCTCAGAGCTTAACCTCTCTCTGGCCCCCCTTGGTCAATTTTGATGAATGAAATCTCTTTATAACCGCTAGAGCCAATGGAATCGAGGGAAAGTTATATACACACCAAAACATTAACAAATAAGGAGTGAGAGTGACGCGTTACCAAAACCGGAAGCTGCATACACTCTGGTGGCTACCATTAGCAGCTAACTTTTCCGCTCCGATTTTTACATAAAAAATGGAATTATGGATTATAAATAATTTTTTCAAAGGCACAGGTACATTATCAACCTATGGATCAACAGTTGTAGCATTTAATGCCATTGAACACGTCTTTTGACCTAGTTGACAGCTACGGTGAGACGATCTGCCGTAAATGCTCCGTAAAGGTACGTGTTGTGATGTCTGTGTTTGCTTCCCCTGTCGCAAGTTCGGATCGCTCAGTGATGATACTATACCTAAATAATCTGTGGAGTCTCAGCTTTAATCGGCTATATTGTATGTGCAGCTACGATAAGTAATAAGGGTATCTTTATCTTGAATTGTGTGCCGCAGTGCGTTAGACTTTTTTCGCTCAGGGGTCATTTAGACGCTTCTTATGAGACTTGTGTTTTGTTTTGGTAACAATGGTTCATATCTTCAGTTAGCTGAGATTCTTCCCGTTAATCTGGTGCTACACATTAATAGTTTCATAAATGTTAAGAAGTCCTGAGACATTATCTCGAAAACAAAACGGTGGGAGGGGTCCAACCACCGTGCTTAAGAGGTTAACAGGTTAACCACTAGATGTGCCTTTCTATCAGCTGTGCACCGTTATGGTGTAAAAACAGCCTATCTACCAATTGGACCAAATATAAAAGTCAGCCGAATTAGTATTGATACTGCAAGGAGACGTATTGTGTGAAAAGAAATGTAAGATGTTGTTTAATTGCTGATATATTTATGATCCACGTCACGTTTTCAGTTTTGGCGGCAGTGCTTCCTGTTTGTCCAGAAGTCTTCTCATCAGGGCTCTATAAATAGAGAACTACGGCAGATATGTAATATTTAATGCAGCCGAACCGTGTATTACAATGCCGTTATGTGATGACTTTCAAAGAGAAAAGCAAGCACACTCGGAATAAAGTATTATTTTATTTTTAAAAAATGTTTTCGGATTTCACATCGCATAAACACCATTTCCCAACGTGCATTGCGGCTAAACCATCGAATCACCGAGCTGAGGACCTTGCCTACGTCTGTTTCCGGTATTTTTTATGACGTATTTTGTTATACACACATTCCTTCACATTTAAATTTAAATTTACATTAAAGTATTTCGTGAGGCCTTCTAAAATGTTTTTAAATATAACTACGGTTCTAGTTGAAGAGTTTGTAAATTAACATGAACCGAAGCTGTTGCCTGGCAACGCAATCGCACAACGTCACGTCCGTTAATTCCACATCCACACTTATGGCGCAGTTCCACTACACGGTCGGCCTCGGCCACGCTCGGTACGGCTCGGTACGGCTTGGCCTTAACAGGGCCGACTCACTTAATGCTGCGCTTCCATTACAGTTTTAGGAACTGGGGTAGTTACTATAGTAACGCAGTGTAGGCGGAGCCGTGACGTCATCTTCAACGAGAACTCCAGAAACACAACACAGCCGTTAGCTGTTAGCACTCAGAGCTCACAGCTCCTTATATATGTTCAGAAACTCGACAAAAGTTAAACAAGTACACACCACAGACTGCCTGTGTCATGGTGAATACAGTCGCTGCTTTATTTATGTCTGTATAGGCCGTTGTTGTGAGTGTGGACGGTCGGAGCATATACTGCGTTAGCTTAGCCAATCTCCATCTAGAAAAACACGTATTTTAAAAGGTTTTTCGCCTGCCGTCTGTCTGCAGACTTGACAAAGCATTAATTCATGGTTTTTACTAACCGGTATCAGTATGTTGTTACTTCGGCATCATTTTGAAACGTGTATTACAATTAAATCACGGTCAAATATGTCCATCTTGTTGTAGTTGTAGCCCCGTTGCCAGCGCTCCTCTCTCTAGTTTAGCATACTCAGCCCGACTCAGCCCTGTTTGTTGGCCTCGATAGAACCACAATTTTCTCGGGACAGGAAAGACGTGAAAAAGTGGCCCCGGGCCGGGTCGGGCCGGAACTAGGCCTAGTGGAAGCGCAACCAAAAACGGGCACGGCACGACACGGCACGCTTAAAGCGAGCTCCGCGCTGTAGTGGAACTGCGCCATAAGTCTATGATCCACACACATGGATTCACATCGATTTAATACATTAATGTAGCCTTTGTTTCTGCTAAAAGAGGTGTCGACCAGCTAGGGCAACAAGAAAATCGGCGAAATCGAGTGTGACGATTTACATTTTTTTTTTTTTTTATATAAATTAAAAACATCTAATTTTGACAATAAAAACTGACCAATAGTCTTGGTAGAGCATTTGCTTGGCACTTCCGGGTATTTCTCCACTGGTTGGGCCATGTTAACAATACCGTGTAACTGTCATGTTTGAAGGGACGAAACCGTGACATATTCACGTCTCCCAGCATGGTAGATCGTCACATGTTCACGTCTTGCCGTGATACCGGGTTGGAAAAATGATGTATTCATTAAACCACGACTTGCCCTTTTCTATGAAATAAGTACAATTTAAAATAAATGTTCAATTGTATGTGATTAAAAAAGTGGACACAATACATTTTTTAATAGTGTATTTTATTATTCAATGTATTCTTAAGCATAACTTGGATTTTTCTTTAGGTACTGGATAATAGGTGAGCCCAACAACTCAGGAACAGAGGGACAGCATTGTGTCGCATTTATAAACCTAAGAAACCCAAGGAAAACATTCTTTGATGATCCCTGCGAAGTACGAAGGGAATGGTTATGCGAAATGGAGCCCAAGGTGTGAAAAGAAAAGAACCATGGAAATATTAACAATTGTTCTTCAATGCAGTTGATAACAGTCACATCAGTCTTGGTTGTAGCTTCATTTGTATCAAACAGTTATGAGAATGGTATCTTTTAACTTATCTAACTCTATTGGTAATATAATTAAGGAAAGTATTGTCAAAATGTCTAACTATTTCTTTGCCCGACATGTGTAAATGTAAGATGGAGCAAAGTTAAACATAAAACCCCTCAAAAAGTGGAAATCACAAATACTGGACAAATCATGTATGTCTTTGAAATATCTTTGAAATAATCTGCTAAATTCATTGGACTTTTCTTCTTAAACTGTGATAATTTAGTATTCTGTTACTGTCCTGCAGCAGATGAATAATTATTTTGTGAATGTAAACTTAAAGGGGACCTATCATGCAAAATGCACTTTTGTTCGTCTTTTATACATGAATATGTGTCCCCGGTGTTCCAGGGAACTCACCAAGTGTCAGAAAACACAACCCTCTCTATTTTCCTCCATACCCAAATCTCTAAAAAAGGGGCTGCAACGGATCTGATAAAAACTGATCCAGATTTGAACACTGTCCTGACGTCAGGACAGTGGCGCTACGGCTATTGGGCCAACTCCACCAATCAGGAGGAGACAGCCACGGTCATTGACGTTCGAAAGCCCTGGAGACGCTGTAGTACATATGCCAGGCCTGTAGATGGTGCTGTTCTCACAGAATCAGCCCTTGCAAAAACAGAGCTAAACAATTTCAAATTCAGCGAAATGAGGCATGGCAAAATGCATGATCTGTTTGGTATTTTGAAAAAAAAAAAGTATAAATATGCCTTATATAGGTATGGTCCTACACTATATTATTCAAATATAGCATGATAGGTCCACTTTAATGTAATAAAAGTGCCACCTAAATAAAATAAAAAAATGCATGAATGTTTGTTTACATAACTGATTTTGTGATCAGACAATGACACAGCTCTTGAAATTCAAGCATCCCCCTGTAAATGTTTAACAAATGAACTAGATTTTCTGTTTGCAATGATGTTAACACACACACACACACACACACACACACACACACACACACACACACACACACACACACACACACACACACACACACACACACACACACACACACACACACACACACACACACACACACACAGGGCAAGGTCCTGACAAATAGTATTTTCTGAACAGTCACGTCAGACTAAGACTGCTTACATCCTCATAGTTAAAATGGACACAGAAATTGCAGGTACATTTGATGGTTCTTATAACAAACTGATCCACCAAGAGGACATCAGTGGAGATGAGCTCACTCTCTATTCAAACCAAGAACAAGAACAAGGTAAACGTCCCACGTCTAAAATAAACTGTAATCTGTACTTTGATACTGTTACCATATTCAAAAATATACAGTTTATTATTTTTGCTATATTGACCTGCTGTTATATTGTGTCATTTTCTTGTCTTTGCTATTGGTCCATCACTTCTGTGCAGTGTCCATGTCTGTGGTGAGACCTGAATCCAGTTTGAAACATTACAAACGGCTTACAGTAAGCCTTGCAGTGCTTGCTGTCATTCTACTAGCAGTGGACATTGGCCTGGGAGTCTATTGTAAGTCGTTATTATCCCACCATCTTGCAAAGCATTGTGGCATTGTACTATATTTTTGCAGCCTGAAAGAGGCTCTAATTTTATTTATTGCATTTAGCTGACGCTTTTATTAGTTTATGTATAAGGGTATCAAATATAGTCGAGCAAAAGGTACAGCATATGCATTCAAAAAGTAATGAAGTATAAGTACAAATTAGGATAAAATGGAAATATTCAAGTAACTTTAATGTAAAGTAGCCTACATACAGTACTTGAGATAAATGTTGCAGCACCACTGCAATTTAACTCTTATTAAAACCAATGTGTCAGTTAATTTTCAAGTAGAAAAATCGAAGTTAACACTAGAGTTAAAGCTATTCAAAGTTTGACTGTTTTTGATCACCACTCATCACATTTTCCAAAGGAAGCAACAGTTGGTGTGCTGATAAACCCACTGTTCATTAGGAAGCAAAATGAACGCCTAGCTAGCTTGTACAGTAGCATTTAGCTTAAGAGCTAGCTAGATATTTTCCTAAGGAGTTGATGGAGATAGGTAATTATACTATATGTGTTGGTAGGAACATAATAGTGTTGTTTCCTGTCAGTGCTCACAGATCAATAATGCTAATGCTGTATGACAGCTTGCATTGCAACATAACAAACATGCTTATACGATAAAATACTATAAGTTAAACTTTCTTTTCTATTGACAAACCTCAACAACAAAACACTAAGAAATAACTCACGTATGGCAATGTACTTATACAAATGTTTTGAATACCTGTTTAAATATATTATTTAATTTCACCATTTTCCTGCTTGTATTTTCTACTGTTGGCCAGTACTGTAAAAAGTGTTGTGATTTAAGGAAACATGATTTCTTCAGTAACACTAAGTCTTGACCACTTACAGATGGTAAATTTACCGATGGACAGGATACCATAATGGACATCAGTGCTGAGGTGGCCAAACTGCAGGCTGCTTACGACACTGCGATCTGGCACAGGGACGAAGCCAAGAAACAGTTGGCCAGAGAGATAAGGGAGCAGCAAATTACCAAGTGGGAGCTTGATCACCAGAAAAGCAGAAGCAAGGACTACCTTAAACTGAGTGACAACATTCAAATGGAAATAGCAGCTTTGAAATCCCACATCCCAATGATTAGTGAGGGCTTTTTTTTCCATATGATTGTGTTAACAACAATTATTTTGACCCAACCAAACCAACAACACATTATGTTTTCCTTTATCTTTGGCAACAGAAGAGGGCTGCAGACACTGTCTACCAGGATGGACCTTCATGAACTCAGTGTGTTACTACTTGGCCATCTCTGATGCTTTTTCACGAAGGTCATGGCAGGAAGCCAGACAGTTCTGTATAAACCAAGGAGGTGACTTGGCAGTGATCGACAGCAGAGAGAAACACGTAAGACTGCTATTCCATCTTTTGTAATTCTCTTTATAAGGCTTCACATTTTATTTCTGAGCAGTAAATGTGCTTGGTGTTACACAGAAACCAACAAGATAAATGAATGTACTGTACATGTTTGTGTTTGTGTTTGTTTGTGTACATTTTCATTGGCAGCTGGCAATAACTGAATTGATAACAAATTATCAAGACCCCTCTCGACCCATAGCCCACAGTGGCTTCTGGATCGGATTGAGAGACATCGAGGAGGAAGGGATATGGAAATGGCTTGATGGAACAAGACTGACCACAGGGTAACATTAACATACAAGAAAGATCTAAATTCACGAATGTGATTACTTTAGACTCAACAGGACTTTATTAACACTTACAGTATGACTTCACTTGAACTTTGATTCAAAGAAGATGAATACCTTTCTTTTAATTACCCACATCCACTTTGTCTGAAGCATTCCAACAGCATCCAATCAAATGACCAGAGAGAACCATAAGGAGCTTACGTTACGTTAAGGATAATTTGGTATTCTACAAATAATACGCCCTGGTCAACAAAAAACAAATTGCAGAATGCACAAAGTGTAGGTGGAAAAGGGTGAAGAGCACATTATGACTTTTTTAAGAATCAAAACAGAAACTATTTTCCTACCTATGGGCGTGTTCATTCTAAAAGTGCAACAGATGACTCATTGTAGTCAAATTGTGTTTTTTGGAGTTGTTGTGATACCACTTTCACATACTTACAGCTGTGGCTATAATCCATCTGTGATATCATCCTTTAAAATGAAAAAGTGATTAACAATGTGTTTCAAATTGTTATTTGTTTCAGTTACTGGAATGATGGAGAGCCGAACGACAGTGGTGGTGAGGACTGTGCAGCAACATATCCCAGAGGCAACCCCTTTAAAGCCTGGAATGATGCTCCATGCAATCATATACTGAAATGGATTTGCCAAATGACACCAAGGTCGGCGGGTTAATCTGATTTTAATTTAATTGCATTTCCTTATTTAATTAATAGTTTCAATCAGGAATTTACACCATTCAAGAGACTTAAATATTTCTTCCAAATATTTTAATTCTCTTTTCAATATTTATGTTAAGCATTGTTAAATATAATTTGTAATGTTCTTTCTATGTTTTTTTAAACTAAAACTGTGATTATTTAATTTCTTCAATCCTATCCATCTACCTATATTTTCTGTAACCTCTTAAAAGGTAGGAACCAATTTTTCTAACTTTTATTTGAGGTTTTAACATAAGCCAATATCAAGGTTTTCACTCAATAGAACATGATCACGTTCTGTTTAAAGAGGGCAGTGGATCTGCGTTTACACACCACCGTCTGGTTATAATCAGCCTGGGAATGCTAAATGCAGTACTGCTGATGGCTGCTGTTGTCATTGGGATGTTCTGTCTAAATGATCATATAGTACATAATACTACCTGACAAACTTGAAATGTGCAATTTTAACTCCTGTGACAGTAGTATCACAGCAACTCATGATTGACAACGTCCCGAAACTGAGAGGCGGTGGTATGTGGTGGCAAAATGGATTTTGGATTGGCCTGAGTGATGTAGCGACGGCGGGAACATGAGTCCAGGTTAACAATGTAACCGAGGGGGAAACAGTGTAAGCTAGCATCTCACAGACTGCTTTTCTATTGATTTCTTAAGTTTTGTGACAGTATCATGACTCACTGGTAAAACTAAATTCTAGACTTCTTAAAAGTACTGGAGAAATGGACATTATAACAGTTAGGGACCTCAGAGTGGGAACTGTGCAGATTCTTAATAATGTGCTGATATCAGGGGGAAATGGTGTATTGGATACTGCCTTGAACCTTCTGTTAAGCTGTATATGTGAAATGGAGCAAAGTTAAACTTAAAACCTTTCAAAAAGTGGAAATCACAATAACTGGACAAATCATGTACTATATGTCTTTGTAATATCTTTGAAATAAACTGCAGCTTGATACATTAGACTATTCTTCTTAAACGATGAGGAGACCTGGGCACCTGTCCACCCTGCCCCTCACCGGTGTTAGAAATTAAAATCAATGTTAAACAGCATAATTCAGTCTAAAACATATCGTCAGTTTAAAGCTGTTTTATTGTGGAAAAACCCGGAAGTTCTCAGGAAATCAATGCCAAGCTTTTATTCTGAAAATACTTTATCCGGTTAGCATGTGACTAAATATTACGTTTTCTGAATGTAAAGTGAAAATGACATGGAGTATTACACACCAAAACGTACGGACTTTAACACTACATCTATAGACGTCGAGATATTATTACTGCTGAATATTAAATGAAGGTACAGTTGATCGTAGTGTTTACACACACGTGAGAAGCTATGACGTCAGAGGGAGTTTCCGTAAATGAGAACTGTGCCGTAGAGGTGTTTTTAGGACTTCTACACTAACGATTACAGCTGTTCATAAGGTATTAAAGGGCCCATGTCATGGCCATTTCCACTGATCATAATTACATTGTTGAGGTATACTAAAATAGATTTATACTGTGCAATTTTCCAAACTCACATTGGTTTCGCATACAGCATCTCTGTCAAGCATGTGTATTCAGCAGTATTCACTCTCTCCACTAAACGACTCGTTGGAGCTCTTGCCCCCCCCCCTCCCTGTGAGCCTAGTGTGCTCCGATTGGTCAGCTCGGCCACTCTGTTCTGATTAGTCAACCACCAGAGAGGCTCCGCCCGCTTTTTTCGGGGAACATCAGTGTAATAATGGCGTCGCTACAGCTGATATTTTATACTAACTAACCGAACTGAACCTACAACTGTTGTTATAGAAGAGTGTGACGGCCCCAGGGCCTTTGTGCAGGTGTGTTGCAGGGCTTACGGTGGGGTGGAGCTGAAGAGGGTAATCAGCGCGATCACGGACACCTCCGTAGCCGGTGCTATTAATCCCAGCGGCCCGGAGTCTCTCTCCAAAGCGGCTGCAGAAGGACGAACTCAGCGCTCCTCTCCCCTCGACCACCTATCTCTGCATTTCCCACATAAATGTGCCGTGGTTTTGTAAACTCGTGTATGTCTCCTTGCCTTTCCGTTGTGGCCTACGAGCCGGTCATAACAAAGAGTAAGTTATTTTTACCTGTAATAAACTACTACTGTTTGATGAGAAATCAAATCATGGTTTGCTATATATGAATGATATGTTATAGGGGCAAATAATTCAGGGAAGAAAGGATAGGCCTACTAAGTATTTCCATTAAACTTTATTTTTAGAAATGTACAAAATGAACATAAATATACATATATACACACGGTATATCATCCATTCCTCCTCGCATCTTGCCTGCGCACAGCCGGTGCGGTGCCTATTAGCACGAGGCCTCAGTAGTAGTAGAAGTCCCGTCCCCGTCATGGATTGTCCGCCAGGATCTGGCTGGACGAAATCAAATGCAAATCACAAAATATTAGAGAAACTTAGTTGTTTTAGATTCGTTAGTAGTAGTTGTGGTAGGAGTGTGGATCTATCTAATGAACAGCTTGCCTGCTAATATGCTAACCTAGCTTTGTTTACCTTGGTAGCTAACACGATATGAACGTTAGCTTGGAGGAACGGCAACTATAATGGAGTGTAATAAAACTACTATGAACAAAAGCTAGTGGTTCATATTAGGCTAGCAATAACGTGTTTATAATTGCAATCGTATACGGGTATTCTGCTACGTTCGGTCATACATTGTAATTTGCATGAATACATTGTTTTGCGCTAGCATACAGCTAGCCTCGTTAGCTATACATGCAGTATATGTACTGTCACAATGTACGGTAAATCACCCGGAGTATACTGTATGAGTATTCCGTGTGTGTGACTGCAGACATTCTCCTGCCATGACAAACATGTAAGGCCATCGCTGACATTGTAGTTGATATATTTAAACGCTAGCAACGTAGCATCACAAAAATGTTTTTCCGACCAAACCTAGCTCTAGCTCCGTGTGTTAGATCGGTTGCATACACGCTACGCCAGCTATAATGTAATTACGTTTCGCGACTGACCGCACGGCAAATCACCCGGAGTATACTGTCAATAGGTATTTTGTGTGTGAATGCACATTCTCCTGCTATGAGATACATGTATGCAAGGCCATCTGCTGATATTAGAGTTGATATATGGAAACTCTATCAACTTAGTTAGCACAGTTAGCACTGTGTCAATGGCTTAGCAGTCCAACACAGTTTACACATTTAAACAGTCTTGTTTGATAAATACACAAATAACAATGCAAACTTACAGGTTGTGTACCCGGATCTTCCCCTGCTCCAAACGGTCCAAACAAGCTGTGCATATCCGGCCTCAAACTGGGCAATGTTTTGGAAGCTTTCGTCTGTGAAATGCCGGTTCTTCGAACCTCTGGAGGAACACGCCGCTGCTGGTGTGGCCATAGCTCTTCGGGATTGGTCCATTTCGTTCCGGGTACCGCATGACATCAGGCGGTATCAAATGGGCAGTGACGTATCTCCAACGAGGCGTTTTGGGGAGGTATTTTCTGTGTTAGAGTTTTACTCGCTACAGGGTGTACTTTGAGGGTTTTGACTCTGCACACCGTTTACATGCATAAAAACCTTCATAACACACAAGGGGACGGGTGATAACCGGAAAAGCATGACATGGGAGTTTTAAATAGAAAGTCATCACAGAGATAAGGAGGAGAAAAGGTTTAAGGAAGTAGGCAGAGAATACCAATGTCGAAATCATCTGTTCTCTCGCGATATCGAACCCGCAGATGAGAAGGGAGGTCCCGCTATCTGCACAGCGGGAGAGAACGAGGAGAGAATAAAAAGGGATGACAGAGGACAGCTCGCTCTCTTTCCTTCGCTGCAGCTCCCTGAAGACAACACCGGCTTTGTCTCTCCATTACCCTTGCTTGTTCTTTAACCATGTTACTTAATTAAACTACCCATTTGAACCTTTTCAGAGACTCCATTAGTCTCGTTATTTTAAGTTTCTTTCCTGGGAGCGAGAAGATCACGATTTATCAACACCGGACAACGCGCCATCTCTGAGAATAGACAGACGATGTCCCTCCATCTCTAGCTTGGCTTTCTCAGATTCTTGTCGCATCCGCTCCACTGCGATCTCCCTTTCAATTACCAACTCACACTTTATTCTGTCATGTTCCCGGTCACATTTTTTTTTTATGTCAATTTATTGAACATGTCAGAAACAAAACATACATCAATACTAATAATAATATATATTGCTTCTTCCTTTTCTTCCTTCTCACTCATAATAATAATAATTATACCAAAGTACAATAAAATAAATAATAATGATAATGCAAAAAAAAAAAAAAAGAAATAAAAAGAAACAACAACAATAAATCTTAAATTAGTCTCTGTCGTGTTCAAAAGGGGCAAGAAGAAGCTTAAAAAACTTTTCTGGTCCTACCCCTTCTAGCGTACATTTTCCTTGCAGTATAAATGAAGTAATTAGGTCATCGTCATCAGCGACATGTTTGTCTTGATACTTTTTTACAAAAACAATCAGGAAGTAATTACTTTTACAATTACAGGAAATAACAAAAAGAATTTTTACAGGTACTGTTCATAACCACTAATGGTTTGGCTCTTGAATAATACTTTCATTTTATATAAAGTTGTACAATTTTTCAGTGCATCACTACATTTATTCCACAGACTAACACCTTTTGATGAGATGCAATGAAGTTTGGCATTTGTACGTACGGGTGGTTTTTTGAAAATGCAGTTTCCTCTCAACATGTGCATGCCTTCTCTCCGTGTAAAAAGTCCCTGGACACCATGAGGCAAATGATGATTTGCGGCCTTGTACATAATTTGAATGGTTTTATAGTCAACCAGGTCTTGTAGTTTTAGTGTTTTTAGTTTGATAAATAATTTATTTGTTGGTTCTCTGTACGAAGTTTTGTGTATAACTCGTATTGCTCTTTTTTGCAGGATGAAGATAGGATGTGTATTTGTTTTGTATGTGTTCCCCCAAACCTCCACACAATACATCATGTATGGAAGTATGAAGGAGCAGTACAGCATAAACAAGGAAGCTTGATTAACTAGGTATTTGGCTTTATTTAGAATTGCTATTGATTTGGATATTTTGGCTTTGATATAGCTTATATGTGGTTTCCAACTTAATTTATTGTCTATGATTATTCCAAGGAATTTTATTTCCGTTACTCTTTCTAGTTGGACGCCATTTATATTGAGTTTCTTCTCTGTATTGGTCGACCGATTCCCAAATATTATGAGTTTGGTTTTGCTTGCGTTCAATGTTAATTTATTTTGGTCAAACCAGATCTTCATCCTGCTCAGTTCCTTTTCCATTGTGACCAATAGCTGTTCTAGATTGTCCCCACAGCAGAGTAGACTTGTGTCATCTGCAAAAAGAATGGTTTTAACAGTTTTTGATACTTCACATATGTTGTTAATATACAGAATAAATAATAATGGCCCCAAGACAGAGCCTTGAGGCACCCCGCATGTAACCTGTAGTAGTTGTGATGTATGACTTTGTATTTCAACGTACTGATTCCTGTTATGTAGGTAGCTGGATAGCCATGATAGTGCAACACCTCTAATTCCATATCTCTGTAGTTTTTTTAATAATAGTTCATGGTCAACCGTGTCAAATGCTTTTTTAAGGTCCAGAAATATCCCTATTGCATATTCTTTCTTTTCTATTGCCTTAGTAATGTGTTCCATAAATTCTATAACTGCAAATGATGTGGTTCGGTTTGCTCTGAAACCATATTGTTGTTCATAGAGTATGTTATGTTTGGTGAAGAAGTCATTTAGTCTTACATAGTAGATTTTTTCCAGTATTTTAGAAAACTGTGGGAGCAATGAAATTGGTCTATAGTTTGACAGTACATGTTTATCTCCAGATTTATGTATCGGTATGACTTTAGCAGTTTTCATTTTATTTGGAAATACACCGGTTTGTATTGACTGATTACAGATGTGAGTTAGTG